AGTGTGTTAGTTTAATACATAAATATAAAACAATTTAAAGTATAAAAAGCTTATTCGAAGTGGTCTCCATTGGCTGCAATACAGTCCTTTAAACGTTGAGGCCAGTTATCAATAGAAGCACGCACTCTTTCCATGGGAAAATTTTTCACTGCCAATCGTACGGATTGTTTTAGGGACTCCAAATTATCATGGCGTTTAGAGCAAGCCGTACTCTCTAAAACTGACCATAAATTATAATTCAGCGGATTAAGATCGAGCCTAGACGACGGCTAGTCTTCAGCTCTGATGAAGTCCGAAACGTTCATTTCCAACCAAGACTGCGTAGACCGAGCTTTATGACCTGGCGCCGAGTCTTGCTGGAAGGACCATTCTTGATTATTGAACATGGTGTTGTTAAGGGGCTTCACTACCTTCTCAAGAATGGTATCTTGATACATTTGTGCCGATGTTTTGATACCTTTTTCACAAAAGTATGGCTCAGTCACTCCTTCATAGCTAATATCCCACCAAACCATCACTGAAGTCGGATAGTGCCCACGTTGCACTCTGTCGACTAATTGGGAAGCTTCCTTAGAGCTTTGAGCATAAATACGGTCATTTTGTTTGTTAAAATGTTGCTCAATTGTAAAAAAATTCTCATCCGTAAACAAATTTTTTCTATGACCTCCTTTTGCATACCGCTTCAGTAGTTGTTTCGATTTTTCCACCCTATTCCCTTTTAAATTTTCAGTTAAAAAATTACTAGTACGTCTCTTATAGGCTGCAAGTCCTAAGTCATCTTTTCAAATACGCGAGATGGTTCTAGGTGCTATCTTCATCTCCCGAGACAAAATCTTTTGCTTTCGGACAGGATTTCTTCGAATTCTTTCCCTTACTGCTTTGACCACCTTTTCGTAAGAACACTACGTGGACGGCCAGATCTTTTTCTGTCACAAACAGAGGAGGTCTCATTGCACCTATTAATAGCCCGGTACACAAACATTTTACTAACACCAAGCGTATGGAGAGTTTTAAAAATTGCATTTGGCTGGCTTTATGTAATGCAATCACAGCGATTCGGTTCTCTTTATCACCCCACTCCATTTTAATATCGCAAAATATTGTACAATGTATCGGCGCCAAAATGAGAAAACTCAATGAGCAATCATATAAAAATGACAGATTCCAAATTCAAATGTAATATTTTGTTTATTTTTAATTGTAACAGTATTTATGGCCAGACTAAGTATACACGAAACTATTTTTTTTTATTATTTTTTTTATTGCTTATATGTGTGGACGAGCTCACAGCTCACCTGGTGTTCAGTGGTTACTGGAGCCCATAGACATCTACAACGTAAATGCGCCACACACCTTGAGATATAGTTCTAAGGTCTCAGTATAGTCAGTTTTTCTCTCTCTCTCTTCATAACGTCAATAACAAAATTTTTAGGTGTCAAAAGTCTGATCATTATTGGACGGGCAACTAGTATATTTAAAGAATATCGTTTTAGTACGAAAAAAACACCAATAAAGACAAGCTACAGATCTCGAAGCTTGTCAAAGAACCCCGGCAGCGTGTCATTAGACGGCGTGAATATTTAAGTAGAGGTGGCGGGTCGCGGTTTCGCTCCCGAGCTCGGGTTATGGGACGGTTGGGATTACCTTCTCATTGAATTAATTCTGTTTGCAGATGAAAAAAGCGCCTATGTATGTATACCCATTTACGAAAACAGGAGAATTACATTGAGTGAAACTGCGAATTTTATTTTTAGGTAACTCCTTAAGACTTGTGTAGTGGTTAATGTGAGTGAGCTTTCAAAGAAGAAAAAATACCGATTCGTTAATGTAATTATTTACAGGCAAACAACCTAGAGTTAAAGCAATGTAAAAAAATTGTTAAAGATTGTTATAAAATATTCACCCTAAGCTGTACCCATTGTTTGACGTCCACGAGCGGTATGTACCACAAAGGTAGAAATCGTCTAATAAGACATATAATACAAATGTCCAATAATAAATGTAAAAGATCGTAATTACAGTAATTAATAAAGTCAAATGTAATAAACCAACTAGTACTTATGATTTGATTTAAGAAAGATTAAGTAGAACTATAAATGAGTTTTAGTATTCCAGACAGGGTGGTAATGTTAAAGTGGATTTGTGTTATGTAATGAAGGGGTCATCCTGTCCGCGCCCAAAAGTCGTGCCCGCGAAGTAGAGAACAGTCATATCCTATCGATTTGTTAAGATGGCGTGCGCGGGGATTTCGGAGGGGGGGACGTGACGAGGGGTGGCGAGGGTGGTCTCAGCCTCCGCGCGGCGCAGCGTGCAGCTTGGCTTGCACCTGCCCGTAACCACCGCGACACAATAGCTACGTCACAACGCTCAGCCTATGAACACTGCACACTCGTTCACATGTGACCGACCGACCACCTTACAATATTAATTGTTGCAATGCGTTCGGACCTAAAGGTAGCATTTCAAACGCAATGCGTAATTTATAAAGAAAATGGGCAGCCACTAATATCAACAGGCTGTATAACGCTGATGTTCTCGACGAAGGCAGACCCTTTGGGATGCTCTTCAGAAATCGATATTTACGTGCATAAAAGACATAAATGCTGATATTGGTCGTTTCCATTCATGCCGGCATCTTATAATATTGCCGTAGGTCGGGCCTGTAGTAGTAATAACGTAGTCGGCAGTGTGCGCCCACCTTCACTCGGGATTCCATGTCGCGCCCTCGACACCTAAGCCGGCCTGATCTCCGGTGGCCCCCGTTCATAACTTCAAGGTCACAAACTAGTTCTGGCGCACTCACACATTTTGAACTATATCTTTATCGTATTAATTAACCCTTTCCTAAATGTTAAATTGAATTCAATGTGATTATTTTATTGGCGATGATGGGTATAAGGACCACTTATACCCATTAACATCATCATAGTCAATTTGTTGTAAAGCCCATGCAAGTGAATACCACAATGAAACACGCGATAAAAGTCTCAATAGTAAAGCTGGCTTACCCTTCAGTCTGAAATGCACGGATGTTTCGTTTCAAAAATAAACAGGAGGGGGTATCAACTTGTGCGGGCAACCATCAGTAATTGCCCAATTTTGTATAATTTTCATTACACGTATTAAGTAATTTCTAAAAATTTATACATGCCACTAGAACAGCACCTTCATATTACTCGACATTGACAGTCTGATTACGCACATTTAACTTGGCCATTTTTTATTTAATATTACTCATACATGCATGTACTCACGTATTCGTGAAACTAACATCTTCGAATTGTTTACAAATTGTGCTCAAAATAAATCATTAAAATTAATTGTGATAAATTCATCATACGATTTTAACCAAACAATCTAAACGAAAACTTAGCTTTGCTTGGAGCGGGGTCTTTGCTATATGTGCCGCGAATTCAAAGAACATATCTCAAGGTCAATGGCAGAATTCACACTATCATTTCCATAGACTTCGATAACCGCTTAACAACAGGTGTGCTGAGAGTCCACTTTTTTTATTTGGACAGGGTAAGGGTATGTTTGTAACATCCGAGAATTTGTCTTGTAAACATAAAACATCAAGTCGAAGAATCTGACCAACTTCAAAATACTGTTATTCTTGCTGTGCTAGTGAAAAAAAAATGTTGGGACAGTAAAGGTTTTTTTTTATTTGGCATGTGATCTTGATTCATTGTGATGCTTGCGACTATACCTAACGAAATATTGTATTTAAGTGGTGATGAAAGGCATTGAAAGTACTCGCGCGCAATTTGTAGTATGTTTTATTGCTCTATCTCAGGAATTTTCCTTGAAGTGCTGACAGTAACTTTACGAATATTTCGGCTCAATCAGAAAAATCAAGAAGCAACTCGCAGTTGCGGACACACCATGCAGAAAGAAAGCAAAATGTTCACTTTTATTTAATTGCTTATATGGTAGCTAGAGTGATATCGAAATTATTAAATTGAATTAGTAATTCCAACAGAGATAACTTACGTCCTCCTTTTTTTTCCTACCTATGCTGATAGTCTTGAGAGGCTATTTCAGCGTCGCCCTAACATGTAGGTGAGCTCACGGGGCTCAAACTGGAGTGTTGCTAACACTGGCCCCAGCAAGAGCAGTGCTTTGCAAAATCTACCACCGGATCGGAAACGCGACCCACTGAGAAGATCCGACAAGAAACTCAAACTGGGCCGGGCTGTGTCTATGGGTTAATTCGCTCATCGAGCCCTTCGTCGCATGCGACGTAATGACGTGTTTTGGGCGACGTCGACGACGTCCTTCGTGACCATTACTAATGTATTTCTTGGAAATCTTTCGAGAAGCAATCCTACTGTCCTATTTGAAGTATGGCAGTCATTATGGAAATGTCACTTCAATCTTACGTCTCAAGGTAGGCAGCAAAGTTGACGTTTTGTTTTCGCAGGATCTGGTAGCCACACACCACAGACGTAAATGGGGAGTCGCTCAATAACATTGCTAATGTCAGGGGCATATCGAGCCGCTAGTCATAATGTGCGCTTATAGATTAAACCGTTATGTAAATTTGTTTCATCTGAAGACCTACGAGAACTTTTTTTTAATTATATTTATATTTATTACGAAGTTCCTTATGGGACGATGCGGACCCTAACCGGGAAAAAACGTCCGTAACGTAAGATTTTTATTAGTAATGCACACAGTGTACCACTTAACTTTGTAATAACGTACAAAAAATAACATATTTTCATTATATATTTTTTATAAATCATTGTGAATAAAATAAAGTTCTAACCTTTGTAAAGTAAGTTTTTTATCAATAAAAAAATCATAATAAAAAATGTATACCCGAATAATTATTTTCTTTATACCTCAAATAGAACTTAAAATTAATATTTTTATAATAAGGAAAACTTCGTTCTTATCTGGTATCCCACGACACCAAACATCTTTTTTTGTATTTGTCTTTCATTAGAACAAAGAACCTATTTGAGTGTCGCATTAGTAATTTGTTTTTGTTTCAGTGGCCCAGTCAGAAGACTCACCGGTCGCGATGAAACTCAAGAAAATATGCCTTAAAACGCCGGTTGGCGAGGAACAGGCGGCACAAGCAGTTCTCGACCCAGCGTTAGGTAAGAAACGAAGAAACATATTATTCGTATGTATGTAATACCTTTCCTATAGACGAGTAATAGTAATAATTAGAGAAAATTACATTTATCATTCGACTAGTTATCTAGGCAAAGACAAATTAGCTAAGTACCATTACCACTGTGTTTGTCAACTGTTTATATTTATTTGTTGTTATGTAGGTATCGATTAACAATGTTGTTTATCTTTTTTTTGGTAAACTTCAATATCGAAACAAAGGTGACAATATAATATATAAAATTAATCTAAATCTTGAGGTACCCAGTGATTTTGGTCTGGAATTAAAGAAAACGCAAATCAAGATTACAAATAAGTGTATTTTGTGTATTTGATATTACTATATCGACTCGAAGCAATGAGGTAACTACAAAAATTACCTCCCTAGGACGAGTCTCGCTTATCAGTTATTTCAAGGTGAATATAGCTATTAGTTATTCGGTCGACAACGTCGCGTATTCTCTTAAACAAATTGAAATGTTTTGGAAATGCTTTAATTACTATTATTAGTATTTAATTTAACCTGAAATATTCGCACATTTTACGTGAAGACTACACATAGCACTCGTCACAGAGTCCCGTTTGCGATCTCCGTCGATTGAATTGTGCTTTTATATCTCATAATGCCACGCACTCAACGTATGATGTCATCGATTTAATTACGTCGGCCATTTCATTATCCACCTATAAAAGCGACATTTATTTCAGTCTTCCGTCTAAACAAGCTTCAATAACTTCGAAACGCGGACGATCGATTTGTGGAAACTTTACGGCGTCGTTATATTTTTACGTTGTGTTTTGGTTTGATTCCCTTTCTCAATGTCAAGATTCCGTTTTATTGTAAAACGTTTAAACGGCCATTTATTCTGGAGCCGCTTTAACATGGTCAGAGGGGCCGAGTGAAGTCCACATAGCCTGGACGGGTTACATCACATTTCTCTGCATTTATCGGCGGCGTATGCGGTATCGGGAGCGTTTAGTATAGGTAGAGGGTAGACAGACGTTCGTGCACAGGTCGTTAATGGTACAACGTGAATCTGTTGTGTGGTACGCGGGTGGAATAACCTATAATTAGATGCGCGTACACCATTCCACAGTCTTGGAACACGTAGATGTCTCGTTCACTCTACATCCGCTGACGTATGCTATGCAGAATAGTTACCGATATTTACTTTATTGAGTGGGAGGATACCAATTGGACTTGCAAATATTTTTTTCTGCATCACTGTAACGTATCTGTGCTCTGACTTTACAATAGGATATGCTTTGAATATGGCGTCGACGAACTTTCATTTTTGAATCGTAAAATTAGTTTATGTTCAGATCCTAGTATTTATAGTTAGTACCGAAATGAGTAACAATTAATTCTGTAAGTGTTTTACACAATATTTCAAAAAATAATTCAGCCAATAATAACAAGCTACATATCACATACATATACGTGCATAGATTTTGATATTTTATCAAACATTGACCTCCTTAATTATGGTTTAGGTCTGCTGAAATTAGTAATAAAAATACAAAATCGAAGGTACAATTTACTTGTACCCCGCACTTGTAGGCCTGTATTAGATGATAACTATCAAAGTGCATAGCGGGAGGTGGGATATAGGTGGCTTTGGCGTATCGAGTGACGTGATAAATAACTACAGTCCATCAATGCAATGGTGGGTGAGGGCAAAGTGTGAGGCTGTGCTTGTACGTGTAGTTTAGGCGGCTCGTGCAGAGCGGGGTCGGCGCAAGCGACGTTGGCTTGTTTCGAATTTGTGCGTGACGCTGCACCACTCCTCAGTGGCCCGGTAATTTGATTGGGTTTGAACTGTCACCTATGCGCCGCCGTTGCCCGACCGTCGCTCGCCGGCTATCGATTAGAGGCCCCGTCCCCTGCCCCCACGTCGCCCGCGAACCGGATCTCGTCACGCCGCCATTGTATACCCGCGACGCTTAAACGCATTCGTTTCTCCCGATGCGAAAACGACGCATTCCTTCCGCGCGCGCCCTCCCGCCCCACGACCGGCCGGCCGAGAGAGCCACATCACGCGGCGCCGCACAGGACCGCCGCCGACCCCTCCGGTCACGATTAACACCTTGCATACGACAGCTTCGACTCGACTAACACAAATATCAATATTCTGACACAATTGAAACGTGATTAATTAATCAATACACTCGTAGAACTAAAACAGTTGTACATAATGTGTGTAAATTTTGTAAATGAAACACGGCAACGTTGCCAAACAATGAAAACGATTTCGACTCAAATGAATATGATTTCTTTGTCGTTTCTCTTAAGGTTCAAAATAGTTAATATAGAAACGTACTGACGCCGAGCAAACGTTTTGTTTTTGATACATTATTATTAAAAAACTCTCAGTAAGCAAATTAAAACAAATTAATTGTTTACGTATAACGCGTGACGTCACAATTTGTATTTGTGTAATATCTACTTGGTACACTATTGTGCAATGAGCATTGCGGTCCACTTGCACTCGGCGTGTTGTATGCCTCATATCTGTAATAGTTTATGTTTGCTATGTTATGTTACAGACGCCTTTCACTTATCTGGCTCAACTATTTCGTACTATTAAAATATGTCAAATAGGGCGACCGAGGAAAGGCTACAAAATTGTTCAATAATTAAATTTTTTAGAGGAAAACTACAATACAGAACAAACAAGTCATTTATTCATTAGCCGTATCTTATTTGTTAACAGGTGGTTATGTTTGTATGCGCTACCTAAAGTTAAAAATAAACCGTTCCAGCCGTTGATTTCGAATGTAAATCACTATGTTTTATTTGTTCTCAAAACATTAGATCCAGATAATCGTTCGATTTATTGTTTTAAAGTTTGACTAGAAAAATTGCGTCCATTTCCAACAATAATGATTATAGTTAATCATTCAGGTGGTCGTTGAAGAACTTCGATATCCAGAGAAGTGCAAAACACAAATTGGTTCTTTCTAAAAAAGAGCATTAAAGAATTATAATTGAAACTAAACCGTATTCGATTAATTCTAGAATCGTTTTCTTATCGACAACCGTGAGATGGATAAATGGAACGGGGCTTAGGTACTTGACAGTAAAAAAAATTTACTACATCCTACTATTGAACGATAAACAGAATATAAAACTATATTTACTAAGAAAGACGAAACTTACAAATTGAAAAAAATAAATAACTGAGTAATTAACATAAGGAAATTATGAATGCTCCTTTTTTACCGTAAATTCAATAAAACAGGTAACAAAAGTGAATATCACAAACCTTTAATAATTAATTTATTTGAATATGCCCTATATAACTATCCCTATATAACCTGAATATAACTATCTAACTACTTCATTACAAACGCTAGCTTATGTGAAGTAGATGAACTTTTCAAATCTCTATGGATTCAAGAATTAACTGAAAGCCATAAACATTGTTTTATCTGGTTGAAAACATACCGTTGAAACAAATTTTTAATTGTTTTATTCAGTCTAATCACATCTTTATATTTTTATTTCGACCTAATCTGTAGGAAATGCACGTAAATAGGAAAGTAAGGCGACCCTGCAATTATACCACGGAACAAAAAGCTTGGTAATCTATGTTTTAAACATATCTATACGTTCTATGTTGTATGCTACTTTCAATATCTCTGTGGTTAGGTCGTGGATAAGGTGTCGTTATCAAGGTTCGAGTGGTCTAGAATTTTTCTACGAATTTCAGGAGCATCTATTGGCCGCTTATGAACATATTACAGTATTTATTACAGTATTTAATGTTACAGTAATATGTTCATAAGCGGCCAATGCTCCTGAAATTCGTAGAAAAATTCTAGACCACTCGAACCTTGATAACGACACGATTTAGCATTAGATATAAGTATAAAGCTAACACATTAAAACGTTTGAAGAAATCCTTCGTGTACACTTATTTATATATTCATCGGAATGTCATCTCTAAATGTTTTTCGTGATTTCAACATACAAAATAGGAATTTGTCCTACTTTCCAGACATTAATTACATTACCAATGGTTTCCCAAAAAAAAAATTCCCTATCACATAAACTGATGGCCGAACGTGCCTAATTCAGAAGATTTCATTTTTTTTAACATTTAGCTATCGAACGCCGTACCAAATATGTAATATAAAAATTAGAAAGAACGAGACAGCAGTGAAAACCCAGAACTCCCGTTAACGACTTGTATTGCGACAGAAATCGTTTTGCATAAAATGAGACCACTAAAATAGTTAACATTTTCAGATGTGCTTTTCCAGTCTTGAGTAATTTTGACAAAGAAAAGGATACTATTCCAGCACACACACGTACACAATTGTCAAAAAATATTAGAATAGTGGAACTTTTGAATTACGAATTTCATATAAAATATGGTGAAATGTAACGCTGTCCGTTTTTGTTCAGATCAGTCAGTTCTTTTTTTGAGTCAACTGCTTGTAAAATTCTATTTTCCTACCAAAATCTTCCCTTACATCTTTAGTACACGTGGTAGGGACGGTAGTAACTTTTCACCTTCTTGCTTACGTTTGCCAAATAAGTGTAAAAGGTAAGAAAAGAAAGGATATATGAATGTAATTGACACTTCGTTTTTATATCTCAATTTGGGTGCCATCCAATTTGTGGTGTTTATGGGTTCAACATTAAAGCCATCGTGTGTTTTTTTCTCTCTAGAAGTTCGAGTAGTTGGGCAGAACTAATTAATTTGCTAGTTAGGGTATTTTCTAAAGCCAAATATCGCTTTATCCCGTGATTGGCTACAACTAAAATGATACTCAACTTATCGACAATGTGAATAAAACACAAGCGAGTCGACTTAGACCTCAAAAACCCAACTAAATTCCCAATTTTTTTTTTATTTTTTTTATTGCTTAGATGTGTGGACGAGCTCACAGCCCACCTGATATTAAGTGGTTACTGGAGCCCATAGACATCTACAACGTAAATGCGCCTCACACCTTGAGATATAAGTTCTAAGAT